GACTGAATGTCCCCTTCTTGATAATCTCTCCAATAAATAGTGATTGCTGTACATCTATTCTAGACAAGAATATATCTACACTTATTACGCTAAATATTGTTATTATACATTAGGTAAGAATATATACACCTAATTATACAAATTATGACAAATATGATCAGCCATAATTCTGCCAAATCTCAGCACAATCACAGTCATTAATCAGCCACAATCAGCCAAATCTCAGCCACAATCACAGTACCTTTGGGATAAGAGAGATTAGTGTATCATTGAAACCCGTTTGAAGCATACCATTCTCGAAGAAGTCCACAGCATATTTAACCAAAGTGTTGCCTACTACATTCCAATATTTCTGGTAGAAGCCGACACTGAAACCATCCGGCCCCGATGCCTTACAAGGTGCCATATCAAACAACGCCTGTTTAATCTCATCTGAGCAAAAGGGAGCATTAATTTCCTACTAATCAGATTGGGACAAGCTAGGAAAACGCCCCTCTAGAATACTTTGATGATCAGTATGAGTTTCCTCCGAGAATAACTCCATGAAGTAACCACGGACATGCTCTTTAATCAACACTTCATCCAGAATCAAGTTCCCATCCTCATCTTTAAGCGCATTAATCTTGGATTTTCCATTCTTCACCGAGGTGGCTGCATGAAAGAAGCGGGTATTCTGATCCCCGGAAGCAATCCAGTCCTCTCTCGACCTCTGGAACCAGATAAGCTCCTCATGGAAAAGAGTTTCATCTAGCTCTAGTCTAAGCTTCTTTTCTGATTTGATTAATTCTGGCTGCAAGTTGATTGCAAGACTGCACTGCACCCCACCAATCCGAGCCAACAAATGCTTTTTCCTTTGAAACACATTACCAAAAACACATCTGTTCCATTCAGTAAATGCTTTCGCCATTATGTTCTTATTTGTATTGAGATCGAGTGCGTTGTTCTAGGTCTGATGGACCAAATCCTGATAGCCCGAGTGAGTGGACCAAGCCATGTTGAACCGGAAGTTCCTACTCTTTGAAGCCTGGAGAACTGAGCTCGTCTTTATGAGTAAGGGAGAATGATTAGACCCCACCATGGGAAGGTGATCGATCGAAGCTGTAACACCCCAATTTTCTAAAACCTTATAATTAAACGCTTAACTTAAATAACGCAACTAATCAATCACATTAACTTACTAAGCATGAAAACAAAGGGATGTCACTGCCACAATCACCGTACCCGGTGACTGCATAGGCTAAAAAGGTACTAACTATCCAGAACTTACTACATTAAAGTAAACTTGGGGGAAAAAATACCCCGGTGTCTATCACCAACAAAACAACAAGTGTCTACATCTATAATCTCAAAAACATCAATAATAGATCAAAAGAGTTTAGACTAATAGCAACTAACTACACTAGTCTAACTCGAGCACTCTCAAGAGTTGGGCCCACCTGAAAGGGGGTTTGCAAATAGACAAATAGAAAACACCCGTTAGCACGAAGCTAAGTATAACTCCACTCAACCCTGTAAAATACTACAGTATATACTTTGGAAAAATATTTGTTCACATTCCCAAATTAAGCAATCTCAATCACTTAGGCAAAACCTTAAGTTAAACCACAAAGCTTTCTATATGCTCACAACCTAAAATATCAAATAGGCATACTTCAACGATATCAAACCTAACAACATGCTCTCAACCCTGTATAACAACTCAATAACAATCTCATGCTAACACATAAACTTCACAAACAATCTCATGCTATCAAGTTCTCGTCATGCAATCAAGGGCAATCAAATATCCACCATATAGTCTATCTTATACATATCATGCAAACTCGTGCAATCATACGTCAACATGCAATCTAGTGCAATCATATACTCATTATGCAATCTCGTGCAATCATATACTCGTTATGCAATCTAATGAACATGAAGCTTTAGATTAGGTATGGATAGATATACACATACACTCTTTTGTAAAAAGAATACTTTTTCTTGTGTAGGTTTCTTAGAGTCACAATGACTCGCTTTCTTTCTCTTGAGTCTCTTGACTCGATCTCTTTCTTGCTCAAACTTTGTCATGCTTCTCGTTTCTCTTCTTGTGCGAGGCAGGTACTCCGCCGCAGCGAAGCCCTAGCGTACGGTGCAAGCTTGTGCATCTGCCACATCCGTAACTACGGAACCTCTAACTTGTGAGGAGGTAGGACCTTCACACTCGTGAATGGACCTAAAAATGCTCGGAAATCTAGTCGGCTTAATACTCAACTCGCCCACAAAACCACTCTCTTGGTTCTTAATCTTTCTTTCTGGCTTGCTTTCTATGTGGAATCAGGTATCGTACTTTTAGTGTGCACACCCCCTAACCAGGATTCCAAGCCTGGCGGGCAGTCTCCAACCTCGTAACGTGGGAATACACCACGTTACATGATAAATCTGTCGGATCGCAATGTCTGTTTTTTTTTCTCTCCGAAAGGACATAGTCCCAACGAGTCCTCCAGAACCTCACTTATATAGATATCATATATATCTCATGCAACTTGTAACACCCCGTGTTACGGCCTTCAATCCCGGATTAATTATTTAATTAATCCCGTTAATAATAATTAAATATGATTTAATTCGGTTAGGTTTCCTTTAATTAATTAATAAAGGTCCACCATGAACCGTGGACCCTTGCCTAAATTAGATTCCTAAGCCTATTAGGAATAAAGAAAGTAAACCCTTTACTATTCAGATTCTAATTAGGAATCCTAGACCTAGTTATCTATTAGGAATAAAGGAAGTAGGCCTTTTACTATTCAGACTACGAGTAGGATTCCCTTTAATTAATTAATATGGTCCACTATGGACCATGGACCCTTATCCCTAAAATAAGCCCTTAGTTCTATAAGGAATAGAATTAGTAAACCCATACCATTCAGACCCTAATTAGAAGTCTTAAATATATAAATAGGGATATAGGAGGCACCTAGATCTTTCACCACCATAATCTCTCACCACACAAGAAGTTCCAAGAATCCCCTTAGGAGAAATCAAGAAAGAAGAAGGCTTAAAGAAAGACCCTTCATAGCCAAGGAATTAATTAAGGCTAAGAGGTAACCCATGTCTCAACAAAACCTATTTTCGTAGTTATGATTTCCCCCGTAGGATTTCCCCATATTATTGTGTATTAATGACTTGTGATGATTATGATTGATGATTGATGTGATGATCCCATGGGGGATCTTGATAATCTTGATATAGGGAGATTCTTGATAATTATGATGTTCTTGATGATTATATGGAGTTCTTGATGATTATGTGTTGTTCTTGATAATTGTGTGATGCCCTTGATGCTTATGTGTTATTCTTACCAAATCTTGCAATTAGAAGGCGAATCGTATTCTTGTTGATATAAAAGTGATTAGAACCCTAGGTTGTATCGTATGATATTATTCTTGGATTATCGGGTGGGGTAATCGCATGTTTGGGTGTTAATTATGTTTAGAAAAACATGATAGGTTATGTGCCGTTCGTTTCTCGTATTTGATCCGTTAATTGTCTACGTGTTGTCGTTGATTGCGTTGTAAAGTGTCTAAGCATGGTTTCGGGTTCCACAATGGTTCCCGGGGCGAAGTTGTGTGATAAGAGTCAGTGGGGGGTAGGGGACCCGCCACCTACCCACGGCTGGAATGGTGATCCCGGCAGCGGGCAGCCGGCGGGCGGGTAGCTGCCCGCCGGTGACCCGCTGCCCGGTATAGTGAATCCGGCGGGTAGCCGGCGGGTGGCCCCCCACCCACCGGCTACCCGCTGGAATTTTCCCCATCTTGGGTTCCCGGCTTCCACGTTTGATGTTTCCCCGTCCCCCGTGGTGTCCCAACGGACTCCGTTTATCGTGCCTATGTCTAGTTTGATATTTCGGGTACCGTTCGTAGGTTTATGAGTCTATTATATTGCATGCTAGTTGAATTGGTGTCCCGTTGACCTAGGTGGAAGAAGTATGAACCCCTTAGGACTATTCTTAGTATGTGATGGATCACGCATAGGTTTTGTTATACGTTTTCTCCCCCTTCCCAATGTGTTAATGTGGGTTGCATGTACTTGTTATGTGTTATGTGTGCATGTAACCCCGAGTTGGTTAAGATCAATCGGGCTATACGGGCAGTCGGGTGGGCTGAGAACCATACCGGCTGTTAACCAGGCTGGTAGAGACCAGTCAGGTATATAAATATTATATAGGACTAAGTTCCACTATACGGGCAGTCGGATGGGTTGAGAACCATACCGGCTGTTAACCAGGCTGGTAGAGACCGGTCAGGTATATAAATATTATATAGGACAAAGGTCCACTATACGGGCAGTTGAATGGGCTGAGAACCATCCCAACTGTTAACCAGGCTGGTAAAGACCGGTCAGGTATATAAATATTATGTAGGACAAAGGTCCATCAGTCGGTTGCGATCGGCTCCTCCGTAATGTGAGACGGGGCAGGGTGCTGCGGGACCGTGTCAGAGCTATATGCGCTGACCCTCATGTATGGGCATGCGATTGGTCCTGTGGCGCCAACAAAGTGTGCTATGTGATGAGATATGGAGGAGTTGTGTTTATGAGTATATTGGGGGATGTGACTAAGGGATTTATGCTGGGGATTGTTTATGTTGGGTTATGATTATTAATTATGCTCAGCTTTATCTGTCTTGCCTGTTGTGGATTGTATACGCCTGTTATAACTGTTGCTTGTGTCTAGCCTTATCTGTCGCCCCCGGTTTTAAAAGCTAGAGTCTCATAGGATATATCTTCATGCTTTAAAATGGTTTTCGTATATCTATATATATCTCTATACGTATTGTATTTCAACGCGTTGGAGTGGGTTACCCGCATCTCTCGCTGAACAGATATATTTGGCTTTCAGGCACAGAAGATTAAGTCACTGGAGTGCGCTAGAGCTTGGAACATAGAAGTAGTTAGTTTCCCTTTCGGCCTGCGTGCCATGTTTATGCATTCATATCATTGAGACATTAGTTAGTTAGCCTGTGCACCTGAGTTCTCTAGCTCAGGTGTGGCATAGCACCCCGTACACTCGTACGCTGTTTGGGATTTAATGAGATTTCACTTTTATTTTATAAGTTTTAAATATCTCGAAAATCTGGGGTGTTACACAACTCCTCTACTTATGCAAACTTATGCACGTAACTTCTCAACAAATTCTCAATGCAACAAGATAATGACTTTCCACATGCTTATGAGTTTTGGAAAATAATACTTAGGCTCACGTTGGCCACTTATGCACTTTTAAAACATGATATGCTTGAAATGCAATTTACTGTACAACATACTTCAATTATGTATTACTGTGAATTCTCGAAAGGCACATAATCATGCTTGAAATTCATAATCTGACAAATACCCTCATCAAACTGTAACACCCCAGATTTTCGAAACTTTTAAAACTTATATAATAAAGGTAATTTCTCATTAAATCCCAAATATAGCATTACTAAACATAAGTGTGCGGGGTGCTATGCCACATCTGAGCTGGAGAACTCAGATGCACAGGCTAAACTAACTAAATATCCTCAATACATCATCATGGCACGCAGGCCGAAAGGAAAAGCTATCTATCTAATCCAAGTTCTTCTAGCGCGCTCCTGAAGCTAATCATCTGTGCTTGAAAGCCAAATATATTTGTCCAGCGAATGATGCTGGTAACCCACTCCAATGCGTTGAAATACAATATATATATATATATATATATATATATATATATATATATATATATAGGAAAACCATTTTGAAGCAGGAAGATATATACTTAGGAGACTCTAGCTTTTAAAACTAGGAATAGACTCGACAGGCAGGGATAAACACATTAAACAATGATAATAAATTATATAGAGACAATGTCATAAAATCATGTATCTAAGGTCACAGTTCACTTTCAAATCATTCACATCATCATTCAATCAACATCCTTGTCACACAAGCACACTTTGGTGGCGCCACGGGACCAATCGCATGCCCCAAACATGAGGGTTAGTGCATATAGCATTAACACAGCCTCACAGCACCCTACCTCATACCGCAGCATGAAGGAATTGACCGCAGCCAATTGTATAGACCGTCAATAGTTTCAACAGCGGATCACAGCCCTACACACCGCTGACGCGCTCAGTCGGTGGACTATGATCCTCTTTTGGGGACTGCGACCCTACACACCGCTTGACGAGCTCAGTCGGTGGGTCGTAGCTGATCAAAGCCCTACACACCGCCTGAGGGACTCATTCGGTGGGTAATGATCTTTGGGGACTACGACCCTACACACCGCTGGCACATACACTCGGTGGATCGCAGCCGACCATAGCCCTACACACCGCCTGACAACTCATTCGGTGGACTATGGCCTTCCTCGGGCTAGTGGCCCTACACACCGCCTGGCGCGTCCAGTCGGTGGACCATAGCACACGAGGCACATGTGGACCGCAGCCCTAGAAGTGAGTCACTGACCGCAGCCAGGAGAATGAACCGCAGCTCATGAGTAACCAGTTTGACCGCAGCCAAGATAACGAACCACAGCTCATGTATAACCAATTTGATCGCAACCAAATTGGGGTATCATGCTCACATAACACATAGTAAACACATAGTAGCACATTGGGAATGGGGAAAGAGTATAAATAAACTTATGCGTGATTATCCACATACTAAGAATAGTCCTAAGGGGTTCATACATCTTCCTCCTAGGCCAACGGGTTACCGATTCAACTAGCATGCAATATACGAGACTCTTTTATCCTACAAACGGTACCTGAAACGTCGACTAGACTCATGCACGACAAACGGAGTCTGTTGGGACACCACGGGGGTTGGGGAACAACAAACGGGGAAGTCGAAGTCCCAAAGTGGGCAACATTCCAGCGGGTGGCCGGCGGGTGGAGGGCCACCCGCCGGCGATAGTCCTCCGGGCAGCGGGTGCCCAGCGGGCAGTCGTCTGCCCGCTGCCGGCGGCGTTAAATTGGGCAGCAGGTAGGTGGCGGGTTTCCCTACCCCCACCTACCCCCCACTGACTCTTTTCCAAAATATACGTCGCGGGATCCTCCGTGGAACCCGAAACCATGCTTAGACACTTTTAAACGCAATTGATGACACCACGTAGACAATTAATGGATCAAAAGCAAGAATTACATAGAACACACCTATCATGACTTCTAAACATAATCAACACCTGAACATGTGAATTCCCACCCAAATATACCAAGAATAACCCAATACAAAATTCACGATTCAACCTAGGGCTCTAATCATATTTAAATCATTAAGATCATAGTTCATCTTTAATATCAAGAAACAACAAGATTTATCAAGAATATCACACCATCATCAAGATCCTCTTATCATCATCAAGATTATCAAGATCACACATAAAATCATCAAGATCATATCATAATTAACATAGAAGATTTCATCAAGACACAAGCATATAGAAGGAGCCAAAGAAGAAGATTATAGCAAAGAAAATAGGTTTTGTTAAGACATGGGTTACCTCTTAGCCTTAATTAAATTCCTTGGCTATGAATGGTCTTTCTTTAAGATCTCTTCTTTCTTGATTTCTCCTATGGGAATTCTTGGGAATTCTTGTGTGGTGAAAGTTATTGTGGTGTGAGTTCTAGGTGCCTCCTATGTCCCTATTTATATATCTAAGAGTCCCAATTAGGGTCTAAATGGTATGGGTTTGCTAATTCTATTTCTTATAGGACTAAGGGATTGGTTTTAGGGATAAGGGTCCATGGGATTATGGTGGACTCTTCCTAATTAATTAATGAAATTTAATTCTTTCTTTTGGGTAATTGATTAAATAATTAATTGGTTTAGAGGCCGTAACACGGGGTGTTACACAAACACTTAGCAATCATTCATCATGCATTTGGAACTCAACTACATCAACTTAGATTAATTCTCGGGATGATAACATTCAAGACTAACATGCTCTGTACACTTCAATTCTTGAAATTTGACAAATAACCTCTATGAATCATAACATACACCTTAGGCATACTTTTCTAACAAGACTTAATCAATTAATGATCATGCTTCTCAATTTAACAATCAAATAGTATCAAGCAATTCACATAGGCAAAACCAAGTATGATACTTCTCATTTTCAAACACTGGAACATTACTGTGACACATTTGCTTCACAAATTCTATCATAAAATGCTCATTTCTAATCCAAATTCAACGAAATCAAAGTCCAAACGCGCGTCATGACGGCCCCAAGATTCCGAGCCACAAGAGTCTGCGACTCCTAGTCCGAAATGATATGTAGCTAAGCCACAAGGGCCTGGCCATTGCACAGACAAAACCAAACGGAGCTTGCGGCGGGGCTAGAGGAGCCCCGCCGCCTAGGACTGCCCGGCGACGGCCTAGGGCCGTCCCGTCACGGCTCTAGCCAGCGGCTACCCTCGTGGGCCGTTGGCTAGGCCCGTGACTCTAGCTGGTGCGCACTGTGTTGCGTACCAGAAGCTTCTTCTTCACCTGTATAGCATTTTCAGACAATTTTCCACTTCTAAATCATCAACAACACATCATACAACATCAACAAGTCATCTAATAGCTCAAACACACGATATGCTAGCATTCCTACACATTTCTATCTACATAACAGTGACTTCACAAAGTCAAAAAGAGATTGAGAATCCATGGGGTTGCACCTTTTGTTTTTTCCTCTTCTTTCTCTTGTGTGGGTTCTTCATCCCCCCTCTCTATTCAACTTCCACCACCTTCACTTCGTAAACTCCTCAAACAAACCACACAAACAACACAGAAGGAAAGAACCTCAGAGATTGAAACAAGAAGATGGAAACTAGAAGCAAAATGAGTGAATGAATGGATGAGAATGAGCTTGGGGAAACTTACTGTGGTGTTTCTTTCTTCTACCAGAGGACTCAGGGGAGGAGATGCAAGGAAAGAGATCAGGAAACAAATGGATAGTTAGGCTTATAAAGGGTGCAAAACCCTAGGATGATTCCCTATGATTGGTGGATGGCAAAGTTGTAAAAAGGACTTGGCAGAGAATGTTTCAGGCATTGTTTTGGATGGCTTGTGGTCCACCATACTCCATGGACCATGGGCTAGATTTGCTATTTAAAATAGTTTGGGGTTGAAAGATAATTTTTCCAAAAAATTTTTCTAGTCAAACACTTGACTTAGGCTTCTCGGACTTCTCCCGATTTCACTCAGATAATTTTCTCGGTTTAAAACTTGGTACGCGAAGTACCCGAAAATTTAGAATTTCGAAATTAAAACTCTCGGTGTTGAACTTTTATTTAAAAAGTCACCCGAAATAATTTATTCAAACACTGTTCTTTTGCAAAAAAATTTAGGGAGTAAAAATGGCTATTTTAGAATTTCTTAAAATCGGATTTATAAAATTAAATTTTGGGTTGTCACAGAAGCCTCCGGAAATTTATGTTTCCAATCAATGTTATTTAGAGCACGATCAAGACGAGCCCCTTTGAACGTATCCGCATTGGTTCCTCGCATCTATGTGAACTTTGCACCTGAGTATCCTAAATCCACCAACCCCTCACGAAAGATCAAATCGTTGAAATCAATGTACCTAGATGAATAAAAAATTTCAGCATTACTCACTTCATCCCTACAAGAAACTGAATTAAAATCTCCAACTATTAGCCATGGTACTGGCGAACTCAAAGACTGGCTGGTCAGGTCTGCAAACAGTTGCTTCCTTAGGTGGTGGTTTGGACTCCCATAAACCACCGAGAACACCTATAGCTCTAAAATTCCATTGTCTACCTGCATAGAAATAAATTGGGGATGAGTTTGAAGAATTTCAACATTCAAGCTGCCCTTCCCCAGAACCCAAATTCCTCTGGAAAAGCTCATAGCTTCTACTCTAATCCACTCATCAAAGCTGAAGCCTGAACAAATTTTGTTGGCTTGACTGCCGGAGACCTTTGGTTCTGTTAGACATTATATGGTAGAGGTATATTTGATATGATCTCAGTGATATTGTGTATAATATC